TGCTACTTTTCATTCAATTTTTTTATATATATTATGTCAAAAATCACGTTTTTTTTACAAATAATGTTATAATTTTAAAAGAATTAATAAATGATAGTTAGTATACAAAAAATACTTATTTTTAATGAGGATAGCGTCTACGAATGAAAAAAACTAGGCACCGATCTGGCACACACTATTTTACATACAAGTGCGAATATGCACCACAACAAACTTCCGTAGTTCATATCTCGTCAATCTGCAAGAGACTGAGGCTGTACATGTTCGAACCTGACACCTGAGGTTCCGGGCATATTTAACGTAGTGGGGATAAGCCGCGACAGATATCTCTGTGCAAATGCCAGCAATTCGAAAATTTTCGCGGTGCGAATTCGCACTCATGTACGGTTTGAAGGTTAATTGTGGGACAAAATAGTATTTAGGCAAATTTTACTGTGCACTACAATAAACTTTACTGTAAAATACTTATTGTAGTGCACAGTAAAATTTGCCTAAATACTATATTGTCCCACAATTAACATGATTTGCAAGGTAAATTAAAAAAAAATTCTCTCCGTGTAGGTACATCCTGCTATCTCGGACACTTGATGGAGGACACTCCCTTGTCCTCCCTCTCATTTAGACTGAAAAGAAGAATTGTAATAGATATCCCATATCAATTGATAATCTCGTCTCATTTTAGACACACTTCGCGTTTGTGTGTCTCGTGCCGTTAGTAGATAATATCTCGCAGCTCGCGCTGGCACCAAAGTCATTAGCGAGAGGAGGTGTTATCCCCTTTTTTTCCCCCTTCCTCTCCTCTCCGCGGGCGTTTATCGTGCAGGCGTCGCATACCGCGGCTACATGAGGACATGGTAGCCGGGGGAATTTCCCCCTGCGCAACAATGTTCGTCGTCGAGTTATAGTTGGAGGGGTGAGGAAGGGGGGTGGAGGAAGAAGAGGAAGAGAAGCCGCGTAGTTTCTCTTTCTCTCTGCCTCCCTTTATCTCGCGGCAACCACCTCGTGCGTCTCCTCGCGACTTTTCTCGCCGTCTCCGATTTTTCTCTCGGTCGTTTCTTCCACCGGTTATCTGTGGTCACGGCGCACACGTCGCTTCCAAGCGAGCGGCGGCGGCGGCGGCGGCGGCGGCGGCGGCGACCGAGGTCCGGCGCGCTGTCGGGACCGTTAGCGAGGCGTAAAATCCGACACCGCAATCCGAGACCTGCGGTCTGTCGCGGCGAGATCAGTGATGGCGATGTATAAGTGAGGAAAAAATAAGTGAGCAAAAACAGGAAGAAAAAACCGAGGGGGTGAACCGTGGCTCGAATCTCCATGTATCGCCTCCGTTCTCGCGCCTCCGTTCTCGCGCCGGAAGTGGCGCGTCGTCGCGCGGATCTGCCTTATAATGAAATCCGAGATGTCGACGGATTCTCGGATACGCATGTTCTGTCCGCGCGTGTAGATCCGGCGGCTCGAGATAGAAGAAAATTTATTGATACCGCTCGAAAGCTGAAGAAATGTCTCGCGCGACCCAGATTTCAGTTTAAACTAGCTTACCAATAAGGTGCAGTCAGCTGTGATGTGAAATTTACTACGTTGAAATCACATAGCTGAATTAAAAGGTAATAGCGATTAGTATATGTGACTCACTAATACATCGAAATATTAATAAAAAAAATTGGTAGTAATAATATTGATGTCGATGACGATGGTAAAAAAGTAAAAGCAATAATAAAAGAAATCGGAATTTAAAAAATTAAAGGAACGATGAATTACGGTATCGTAAATACCGTAATGAGAAAGGCAAAAATAATTCTAGGCATCTATCTCATAATATATGACATCGTGAATATTACCGACATAAAAACGGGCAATGAAGATGGTTAAACCGCTTCCTAAGCGCCTACCATCCAGAAAGACATTACAAACTGCATTGCGTAATCGACGGCTGCAAAATATTGAGAAGGTTACTTATGATATACTTATCGTTTGGTGAAAAATAGAAAAATCGCAATAAAAGAATTGAGATGCAATCGGTACTGATGACATAAGTATAGTATAAAACAAGCCGGTATCCACATAATTAGTATGCATAGCGCATATAAAATTTTATTACTATAATTTTTGTCCTTGGAAAGCAAGAACTTTAATTAAATGTCATAATCTCTTAAACTCAAGGGAATGTCTTTAGCACAGATTTGTTCGTTCATAATCGGCATTATCTGGAGAAATTAAGACTTCAGGAAGCTGAAGAGAAGATTATACCAGTACAAATTAAAAAATGAGAAAGTGAGATTAGAGTTCTATATATTTTTCTTTTATTCTTTATTTAAGATATTTATAAAATTTTGTTATTATAGAAAAATCTCAAACTTAAGATATTTTTTATGAAATTTTATTATTATAAGAAAGATCTCAAACTTCTAGGTAAGATAAAACCGAAGAGTTCTATTAATCGGAGACACATTTAATAATTAAACGGCGTCAAGTCGCAGAGCGAAAGATGAAAATAACTCTTTGGACGTTGAACGTTCAGATATTCTAGAAAATGATACAATTCCCCTCCCCCCCTCTCTCTCACTCTCTTCCTTCGTAGAAACTAAACTCCCGTTAAAAGAATGATCAAGATGTAACAAGTGTCCGCGTCAAGGTAGGCACTAACTTTAAAGTGAGAGTAAGTGAGTACTTCGGATTCCAATCGCCTCGCAGTGTAGATCCAATCGATAGGAGATTGACCGACAAAAAGGATATTAACCGAAGAGCAGGCGCGTGCAAACGCGCCGACTTACGGAGGGGAGGGGGGGAGAGATGCGCTTGAGCATCTCATCCCAAGCGCCGCGTCGGAATTCACGTAGATGCTTATCTGCACCGCTTCTGCGTTTCGCGCGCCACCGCGTGCGTACGACGAGCGTGCGGATCCGCGTGTGGATCCTGGTGGAAGTATGCAAATACGCGCGTACGCGCCGAACACACGTGCACGTGTAGACGTAGTCCTCCGTATATAAAGCGTATAAATATATCTGCGCAGTATATATAATAATACCGGTTCCTCCTCCTCTGTACTCGCAACACGCGGCGGCGGCGGCGGCGACGGCGGCGGCGGCGGCGGCGGCGGAACGCGCGACGTTTAGTTATCCGGAATTTTTTGAGGCTCACGACCGATCGGAGGACGATATCTTCGTTAATAGGAACTATCGGGTTTATTTATGGCAACACGTCCCGGTCCAACCTTCAACGGGCGAGTACAATTAGGAGTAAAAGAAGGTGACTGCGCGCGACGACAGATTTCACGGTCGTTCTGATTGCCGAGATTGCGGACTCTAGCTAGCAAGCGATTTTATGAACTACAAATATATACTCAAATGTTATATACCTCGAACTCTTTAAACCGAAGGCTACGAGAGCGCGTGAAAATTATTCACTGATGGCGTGGATATAAGCCTCCGCGGTCAATATAATTCCAAATCCGGATAGAAGGCATTTTATTCTCGGATGATTTAAGGTAGGAAGGATTTTCTGGAAGGCCGCAACATCATCAGATTTAATGTGGTCTCTTGTCTCTCACCGCGGGCATAAAGTCGTTCTACGTGGCCTATTTTCGACGTCGCCGCTACGTCCGCGCCGCTATTAAGAGTCTCCTCAATGCATATTACCGCACACTCCGAAACACATAAACCAAGATCAATCAAATGGAACGAGCCGATTGCCAATCAGTAACGAATTATGATACAGTTAATTGAAAACATTTATTGACAATCATATTTTTTTTAGAGAAATATGCAGTATTTGAATTTTTTTCAAAAATTGTTATTGAAAAAGATCAATTTTTTTATTAAGTCGTCTTAATTTATTAAATAATCAATTTACTATATAAGTTTACTTTATATATACCTACTTTATATAGTAAATTATTCTACAAGGACATGTAGAAAATTGACGCCAAAAATCAACGCCATAAAAATCAAATAAAAATTTAATTTGTCGTATGCAACTTAAAGTACTATACTTAGTTAAAGAAAATTACAAATTTATATTGTGAAACGTTTTGCATCCCAAATTGATATTCAGCTTATCGGGGCGCGCACTTAGCGATGCAAAAAAAAAACAAGTACAGTGAGATTCTTTGCGTTATTAATTAGCGTAAGTGGATTAAGAATAAAGCAACTGTTGCGCGGATAATGTATGCACGCGCAGTTATAAACACGCATCTCTATCTCTCGTTGGGAGATTTTACGGCGGAATTGAATTAAAAGCGCGCCCTCTTCCCGTCTCTGTCTCCGCGACAGCTTAATGGCCTCTCGTAAATACGTGCTCATTAGTAGTTGATAATTAAACACGAGGACGTGAGGCTGCGGAAATCGCGAAATCGCCACACAGAGCTCGACGCGGCGGCGCGGCGTCTCGACACTTGCGTAACTCCGTCGAATCGTCAAGGCGACCCGCCACAGGAACGAGAACAATGCACTCGGGATTACTCCGGTCGTCGGTAGTTCCAGAAGTGATACCAAGCGTGAGTCGGAAACGGCTATTACACGGAAACAATTGTTCGGTTGTGAACATCGGACGGCGCAGGAAGGCAATGTACGTCTAATAACAGATACTTTTCGATTTTCCGAGAGAATCGGCACGACAACGGGGTCAGAATATCGTAATTGCAGAAGAAAATGATCACGTGTAAGTAATGGTTTACAATGATTCATGGCTATTAAAACATATTTTCTTAGGCACGTTTGCGCGCAGCAATTTATACGATGGGCACTTATGTTTAAACAGAAGAATTTTATTCTCTGTATAGAAAAGCGAAAATCGAACAATTTAAAACTTAAACGTAAAACGAAAGATCCGCACTTTTTTGTTAATAGAAACTTTTAATAAAAAATAATTTACGTAAAGGAAAGTACATCAGTAGATTATTTTCTGCAGTGTGTTTTTTTTATTGTCACTTTTTTATTAGTTCACAAATACCTAAAAACGCATATACGTACATGAAAAATATCCTTTATTTAGAGATCAATTTTAAATATTCTTGGCGAAAAGAAGAATTTATGTGAGATGATTCATATAATCACACTTTTGAAATAGAAATAAATTTACTGATTTTATCTTGTCTCTAGATTAGATATTTATTCGCATATTTCAAATCAATCTTTCTGAAGCGGATTATAGGATAGCATAAATCTAAAATATTACCGCGCGTATACCGTGTATTGTGACAATCAAATATCTTTCATCGATTTAACATTGATTTCTGGAATATTGAATTTTCTTACCAACGCTTGCACATAAATTATAGTTATTATAGTCATCGATGGTACCCCGCTATTTCATATTATATAACTCTTTCTAAGATGGGCTCATAAAGTGTTTTCGCACATATGCGAGGTGTCTTCATAATTAAATGCTTTCCATAATTTAACATAAATTTTTGAAATATTGATCCTTCGATATTTCTATGGTCTACAAAATCGTTATTACGTATTTCACACTGATTTTTTCTAAATCGCATTACGCATAATTTTAAATATTCACAACGGATAGATATTTCATAATTAAGCAGCTTTGATTAAGTATCGTGCGATCGTTTCTGGAATATCGATGTCTTCCGCGCAGATTACAGGACGTAAGCTAACGGTGATGCGTTGACGTTGATGTCACGAACGTTAATGTAGGTTAATATCGACTTTCTTCAGAATGGATCATGAATTCAGTTTCATCTAAAATATTCGCACCCGCGCGCGCGCGTGCGCGCGTGCATTCTCCTGTCCTCATTATCGAAGCATGCAGCTGATCGTCACGACGATTGCCGCGAGGATTCTCTCTCTTCGCGCGTCCCGACGACGCGGCGATGTGTCATCGGCGAGCAAGCCACCGCCATCGTATTTCGTTCGAATCGCACGTACGCCCAAGGTCCATTACCGGTATTATAGCAGAGATATCGAAGAGATGCTTTTCGTTCGAATATCTCGGTCACGCGTATCTCATCTCTGCTGCAGAGTCGAGTTTTATTGTCGATGTCAATATAATATGTTCGTAAATGGTTTTAAATAGCTTAAAAACTTTTAAAACCCGATAAAGAAGGAAATAACGCTGTATCTATTACGTTCTATATTTCTCTTTACTTGTTTATATTTTTTTCATTTTTTTCCCTCATGGGGGGGGGGGGGATAAAACATCTGCAATCTGTAACTCCTTAAAATGCGTAATCTTGGATAAGAAAGAAAGAACGAGGCTTGTAAGAAGCACGAGGGGTCAACCACTATGACAATCAATGTACATTTCTTTATAAATATATTGCTATAGTATTGCAACAGTATACAATATTATACTAGCAATACGCTATCAATACATAGCAATACATAGCAATACCTTAGCAAAACTCGACAATATTGTGCGCAATAGGTGGCAGTACATGAGATGATGGCAATATTACTGACAATACGAAAGTAATACAATACCAACAAAGTGTGATGTATAATTAGCACTATACATTTTTTTTTAGTAGCGATTGATCCCCTCGAAGGAGCACGTTCTGTATATAGAAATCAATAGCAATTCGTGTAAAACCATAATTTTTGCGTAGAAACATCATATACGTGTCGCACGCGAGATTCAGTATATCAGTCCGTATAGAAGAAAGCATCACGCATTAATTCTACGTTGCACCGCATATTTCTTCATTTTCTTCCGCGACGATCGCAACATGTGTACATATCGACTGAATACAGAGCGTGTTCCATTGGCCGTTAACTGCACCTCGGTGATGGACAAGATGGTCAAGTGGCGGCTGTCTGTCACGTGCGGACGTCGCTAAGATGATGATCATTAATCGTTCACGCAGGTCGGTGCTTCTAACGCTTATATACGCGCGCTCGATAATGGCTCCTCTTTTGCTGCTTTTGCTCACCAAGAGCTCTAGCAGGTGGCTCGTCTATGAAGTACTCATCCGTATCGCCGACCCACGATCGCGTTTTTACGGGGGCCGTTAAGGGACACCGACAACGGTTCGCGCGAACGCCGTATCGCGATCGTTTGCCGTGCTATCACTAATGCTCGTCTCTGATGCGGATTAAAACATGTTAGTTAAAACTCTTAGCATCCAGATTATTAAAAGAAAAAAATTTTAATTTTCTTTCTTTCTCTTTCTCTTTTTAAGAGAAAAAATTTTATTTTTCTACAATTTTAATTTTCTCTCTCTCTCGTCGAGAAATTAAAAATTTCTAGCTGAATCAATTTTGATAGAAAAAATATATTTCTTTTCACAGAAGTTATTCTTCGCTGTATATATAGGATAATAATATTCCGAAGAATGATATAAAACTGGCGCGCATAAATTTCGGATTTTTTTTTTTTTAATAATTGGAGGAAAATCCACGCGATGCTTGACGTACACTTGTGCACTTGATTACTATCTGCTACTACTTTTATTACGGCAACATTGTGCATTGCCGCGGTTGATGAATAGCGGTGGAAAAATGCGTGACCTTCGATAGAGATAGTTTTCCTACCTCAGCCGTGTACGTGGACTAATTTTATTGCCCCATACATCTTGCGCCTCTTGCTTTTCCACCAGCGTTTATTGCCCGTTTACGCGTACTTGAAGCCGAAGAATTTTATCCGTGGGCGCGGTAACGGCTCGTTGTATCCGTAGAACTTTACTTGCTGGATGCACCTCGTCAAAAACATTCCTACACTTATGCTAAATATCGATAATTATAGATATCTATTAGTTGTATACTGTTTCCGTACGTACGTAATTTTAGGCCCTAAACGTATGAATTTTTGTTGCAGTTGCCTTTCTCACGCGATTTTTTTAGTTATTTTTATAGTAGTATTTAACGTCATTCTCTGTTGAATTTAACGACAAAAAAACATACAAACTGTTTATATTTAATGGAATTAAAAAAATAGCGTATTGGGATTTAATTAAGAAAATAAAGAAAACTTCTTTAAAAAAACGAGAAACGAAAAAACACGGTGTCTTTTTTAGCGTATCGACCTAATGTGATGATTAATTTATATTTGACTGTACAATTTGACCGGCGACACAAATTGAGATATATCTCGGCAATCGTAATGATCGATGATGACAATATCATTACTATTTCATTTCATGTAAGCACTGCTTTTCTGTTTCTCCGGTGAATTGTTTATACTTAAAAATTTACTCGCAGCTATGCGAAAATAGCTTATTTTTCGATTTCCTAAAATCGTTGAAATTGTGTAAAATTTTTGTAAAAATAAAAATGTACAACGGGAAAATATTGTGACGTCGTGAAATGCAACGGCTGCTTCTGTACGCATTTAATCGCGATATGCCATCAACATTCAACCCCCCCGCATACCGGTAGATCAACCCTTTGCCCTTCGTCTTCTCGTGATGTCTGTCATGAATTATGAGCCACGTCCGCGATGATCGCCCTTAACAACTGGGTGAGCGCGAAACGAGCGTAGGAAAGTCGCATTCTTCTCGCGAGTATTAATCTTCCTAGATTAAGCGTGCACCCGTCTATCCGATGGGGACGCGTGCTTAGCGCCGACGTGCTTTAAAGCGAATTTGCGCGGTTCATTTTTTAAACGACCGCCGGCTCATTAATCAATAAATAAGTGTAAAATTAGTATAATTATAATAAAATTAGTATAATTATAATAAAAGCAACTTGAAAAATATGATTTACTACACGGGCTGAAAAGTTTCTGGAATTGGATACAAAATGGTATTATATACAAAAATTAATCTTACGGCTGTCAAATATGTTCCTTCAAACCTCCACTGTCAAAATTTCATGACATTTCACTGAATAGTTTATGAGTCATTTGAACAAGTCAACGTTTGAGTTTTTTAAAAAATGGAAAAAAATTCGAAATTCGCAGTGATCAAATATCAATATTTGAAAGACTTAAAACCTCAAGAAATTATCGATGACTTCAATGACTTCTTGAGATTTTAAGCCTTTCAAATATTGATATTTGATCACTGCACGAGTTTCGGTTTTTTCCATTTTTTTTAAACTCAACTTTGTTCGAATGACTGTAACTCACAAACTGTTCGGTGAAATGTCATGGAATTTTGACAGCGGAAGTGATTGAAGGAATATATTCGACAGTCGTAAGATTAATTTTTGTACATGGTGATATTTTGTATCGAATTCCGGAAACTTTTCAGCCCACGTAGTAACCCAGGCTTAACTGACTCCACAATCGCGACTTGAGGAGAGACAGACCCGAAGAGATTGATCCGCTTTCCAGAGAAAAAAAATGGACATTAAATATCCTCGCCTTTAAAGTTGACAGAGTCCTTCGAAGGCCGCGGTCAGCGCGACATTCGCGCCAATTCAAGAATCTCCTCGCGTAAATTCGCCTTTAGGTCGACGATACGAGGATGATTCGCGTGAGCGAAAGGAGCGCGTGTCTCCGCGGGCGGCACAGTTCAACTGCGAAGGTCGGTCAATGGCCAACCAGCTAACGACAACGAGAGAGGACATTCGCGCGAGTACGCGAGTTAGGGAAGCGTATATAAGGAAGGGCGACGTCGTATGCGCGGTACCAGAATATCATTACGTTCAATTGCCGACGACGTCAACGTCGTCCAGATGGTGCATGTCAATGCACGTGCGACGGTCGCGCGGAAAATGAGAGCACCGCGGAATGAGAGAGAGAGAGAGAGAGAGAAAACG